TTAATGTGGTGAAGCTTTTTATGTTTGCCATTAAGTCTTTTATCAAACTAAAAGACTGTACTGTGCAACTTGAAGAGAACTTTTGGATGTTGTGACTTTTATTACTCAGTTTAGACACTACCTTTTAGGGAGAGAATTTCTTTTAAGGACAGATTATTCGAGTCTGCGATGGTAAATGTCATTCCAGTCGCCGACAGATCAAATGGCTCGCTGGTTAGAAGATGTGTCACAGTTAAATTTTAGGATTGAACATAGAAGTTGGAGAAAACAAGCAAATCTTTACAGTCTCTCTAGAATGTCATGTGAACAAGAAGAGTGTAGTTGTTATGATGGAAAAACAATTTTGGAAGAATTACCTTGCAAAGGGTGTGTAACCTGTATTATGAAACATGAGTCTTGGTCAGATTTTGCCGAATTTGATAATGTTGTTCCCTTGATCGATGAAAACATAGGTAAAGGGAAAAGTATCAAACCTGTTGTGTTAGGAGTGAAACCTCAAAATGACTGGGCATTTTGGAATGATGTTTTCTTGTTAATGCAGCTGCAAGTTATGAGATTATTGAGTTGTTTAAGATCACTTTTCCATGGAATGAATAGGGCAAGGAGGTATTTTCGATATCACATTGGTGGACTTCGTTTCCGTGAAAGTCTACATTCGCATGGTCGAAGAAGTGGAAGCAATCTCAACATCAGTGAAATTAATAAAGAAGTGGTTGGCAAGGACGTAAATTCCATACTAGGTGGCGAAGTTGTTTCATCAGAAAATGAAGCTCAGACATCTAACTTGGGTCGTCTAAAGCAGTTCAACACTATTAATTATTCACCTATTGGAATGGCAAAATTACAGAGAGCAGACCTTGATTTAGGTTTTGGGACATCATGGGTTACTGGAAGCAAACAAGTGGTTGACAAGGACGTAAATTCCATACTAGGTTGCGAAGTTGTTTTATCAGTTTATGAAGCTCAGGCATCTAACTTGGGTTGTCTTATGCAGTTCAACACTACTTGTTATTCACCTGTCAGAATTGCAAAACTACAGAGAACAGACCCAGATTTAGAAGTTGTTATAACATGGGTTATTGAAAACAAACTACCGGGGACAAGGAAGCTAGATTTTCTCCAAATATAAGGAACTACTGGTTTAACTATGACTTGCTCGTGATGAAAGATGGAGTGCTGTTTATAAAATGTAACAGTATTCTCAACACAAGAGAGGCCGCTTTGCTTCTTATTGTTCCAAAGGTTTTACAAAAAGAGATTTTGGTATCTTCACATGACTCAGTTACAGGCGCTCATTTGGGAATTACAAAAACTTTGTCAAAAATAAAATGCAAGTTTTATTGGTTTAAGCTAAGACACAGTGTTGAAATTCATATCAAGCAATGCAAGAAGTGTTCATTTCTAAAACGATCTCCAAAATGCACTGTTGGTCACAAAATGGACTGGGTCTAAGGACAGATAATGGCCATGTGGAAATCATGCATCATGATAGTTTGAAACATTATCATGGAAATTAAATGACAAATTGGCAATCAGATATGGCGAAGATCAACAAGAATAACAATAAATTACAAATCGAAGAAACTAAGACAATGCAGAAGATGGCATCTGAATCAGATTTTCAACAAGTAAGAAGAGGTAAAAGGAATAGGACTCAACACATACCATACCAGCACAGAACATAAAGATCATAAAGAATCATCATGTAAAATATCTTTCAATAAGTTTTGATTTCAAAGGAGTACATGTTGGGTATATAAGGGTACTCTGAGATTTTGCAGTCATTTCAGAGTTTTCGACCATTCAGAATTGTGTAGGGAATAAATATTGGAATAATATGAAAGTGTAAAGAAAATACTAGTGAAAAAAAGAGGAATTTTAAACGTTGTTCTTACAAAAATATATTTTGGATATAAAACGCAATCGGAATTAATTTGTGATTCGTTCAAATTGGAATATTAATTTGTTATTCATTTCAAAATAGGAATATTAATTTGTGATTCATTCTGAATTGGAATATTAACTTGTGATTCTTTTCAATTGAAATATTATTGTGTGATTCTGGTTCAAATTGGATTTTAAAGTGTTTTATTTTCAGTTTAACAATCAGTGCCATTTTCTAATTTCAATTATGTTATATATAAATATTAAGTTTAATATTTTGGCACTTAGGACTCTATGATAGAGACGACTACCAAACAAATTTAATATTCAGTTTGTGCCTTTTAAGAATTCTTACACATTTGTTAAAATTTATTAAGAAATAAATAGGCACCAGGACTTTGTGTGCAAGAAATAGACAATGTGTGAAAGATTGAATTAGGATATTGTGAAATAGAAAAAAAGGGGCAACAGAACATTTATATTATATAATTGAGTGACAAAATATGTTTCATTTTGATATTAAAACATGGTGTAAAAATTTGAACAACTGTTTGAGAAATTTAATTAGTTTGTTTTGAGTATTCAATGTATAATTGTAGTCAGAAAAAAATTGTCGTTAACAGAAGTAAGATTTCTGTAGATTTAGTATTTTCTTAGAATTTCGTAGTTGAATAATGCTTATTTTAGTTAATGCAGAGTATATTATGTTAATTGAGAATGTTTTATCGTTAAACTTCTCTTCATTTTGGGAGTAAGATTGGTTGAAAAGTCACTGATTTTTGTTTCATTTCTATATTTTTGTTTGGTGTTGTTAACTTAATTGGGACAATTAAGCTTTTAGCAAGGCACCTGGTTAAGGTTTGATTTAATGATTGATTTTGTATGAGAATTGAGACCTCATTTGTTGTCATTATTTATTACTATAAATCTGTTGGGGCTAGACTGTGTACCAGTCTGGGAGATTTTAGTATGGTAACTCTGTCAACAGGTACCTGCATAAATTATGGACAAGAGGCCTGCAATTGTTATGTTTAGGGAACTCAATCATTGGTTATTATCATAAATATTCCAGGAATCTGTCTGTTTGTTTCTGGTACAGTTACTTGATCAACACTTGTCGTCATAAATATAGAAGGCTTAAATTTGTCAATTAACACCATGGTAACCTCCAAATATGGAGAGACAATGCATTTCATATAAATACTGGGACAAGATTTTCTGGGGGCATTCTAGATTGAAGATTGAAGAACGAGATTCAAAATGCAAGAGTGAGATTGTAAGAGATAGAGTCGGGATAGGGATTTTTGAGAGTTAATTCTCAGTGATTTATCAACCATGTGCGAGGAAGAAAAACTCTGTAACTTTAATTATTAATTGTAGAGTAGAAATTTAGAACATTTTCAACAAATAAACAGTGAAATGAAATTAAGAACAGTTATTGTGTATTTTATGTGGAATTGTGGAAGTAGTAGAAATTATAAATTACGAGAGAGAAGAATTTATAACAGGTGAGGAAATGTCTAATATAAATATAAATATAAGATAGGAATGTCGCGCTAAAATGATTTGAAAATATTCGCGCATTTATCTTTCGACTGTACATATCTGTCACAAACTACGTCTCTTACATAAAACCACAATGTGTTAGCATTTCATATTCGTTTGGCCTAACTTATATTGTTTTGGTTATTTACGTGTTTTTGTTATTAAATTATATCCAATGTATTTCTTTGGTGTTTCTGAAAGAATAACCGCGAAATTTCTGATTAAGGTTCTCTGGAGTCCATCAACATCATATATAAATTCTTTTAGTTTATTTTGACTTTCTAAAGCGTTTGTTTACACGGAAAGTACCGATATTTTCCGGATTTTCACGAACCATCCTCATTAACGATCAGACATTAATTTTTTTTCTAGTAGCTGTAAATGATAACTGCACATTAAACAAACAGGAAACACTATGATTCAAAATCAACCTCTTATATTAAAAAAAAACCATGCCGGTTGCCACCATGCCGATTGCCATTTCTGATAGGGGCGTATTTTGTTCACGAGCTACTTTGCATTCTGCTAAAAATTGAAATTCTATCTTTTTCACCGAAAATACCAGACTTTCCCGTCGACCAAATTGTAATCGTGGCAGATTGAAAGTGCAAATATACCATTTGTTTTCTTAATGTCAGCGTAAGAAAGTTAACGAATACCATGCGAATATTGTTATAACATTATAATTAGGTTGAAGTAATTCATCGTATAAATATATCATTAAATACAGTTAAATTATAAGAGTATAGTTTATTAAATCTCAAGTACAAATACGAAAGAAATATCTGCATAATATGTATATGTGATTCTTTTATATATTCATTGTAATATCTGCATAATATGTATATGTGTTTCTTTTATATATTCATTGTAACATTGTTTAAAACTAGACAAATTTTTGATACTTTTTGTTGAAATTTTGTTGAAATTTTGCCTTCCATGCACAATTTGAACAATAAAGGCGACAACGACATCTTCGCAGCAATAAAATAAGCAATAAAAACATGATTTTGTGAAAACTTCAGATCTAAAATTATAATTGAAGCAAGCTTTTTTTTAAAATGGAGAATAATGTCTTCACAAGAGATGAGTACATATATTAATGTGAACCGACCCCCTTGCACTCATGGTGAAGGCCACTGATTTTTAATTACCGTGGGTTCGAATTCCTAATTGAACCACAGGCATTTTCAAGTTAGGAAGCTATTTTCAGCTAGCGAACGCAATGTTGTTGGTGCTACCCAGGTGTCCGTTCGTACATGACCACGAGGACACCTGAGAAAATCTTTCAATAAAGCTATTATCTTAGCAGTGGTAAAACCCAACCAAAACATATAAACTCGAAATGATGTCACAAACTTCACGACTCTTACGTATGTGCATTAGGATGATTCTATTTTAATGATAAATTCATAATTTACATTGTGTAAAAAACGTGTTAATAAAAGAAAGATAGTGACAACAACTTGTTCTCTTTTTCTTGTTAAAACTACTCTTACAAGATCCCAGTTAAATCATATAAGGTACCATGTGCTGTATTTATTAACCATAAATTTCCGCTACATTTGCAGATGAGCGCAAAATATGACGATGCCGTTGCACACGAAGCGATGGCTTGGATAAACGATTTGATATCCGAGATCGGTGAAGGACCAATCAACACCAGTGGAAGTGCAGATAATGTTTATGAAGTCCTGGAAGACGGTTACGTTCTTTGTGCGTAAGTATATTACATGTTTGTTTGACCAAATTACATATCCTACATCGATATTAAATTTAACAAGGGTTTTAGATGTTGTGCCATTTTGTGTTAGTGTTATTCATTTATGCATTTATTTCAAAACCATAATTTGATCATTTGAATTTAACATTGTTTATTTTATTTAGATATGCTCTTGTTTTTTTTCCAGCTTAATGAAAGCCATTGAACCATCCAGTATAAAAACACTAAAAAGGCAGAAATTGGCATTTAAAAAGATGGAGAATATTTCTGTTTTCTTACAGGCAATAGAAAACTATGGCGTTGCTAAACATGATTCGTTCCAAACAGTTGACCTTTACGAAAGAACTAATCTTACCCAAGTTGTCCTATCCATTCATGCTCTAGGACGAAAGGTAAGCCTTACTTCTAGTATTAACACTACACTTAAAAAGGTTTCTTTTATTTGGGATTGGGGTGGGGAGGGGGAGGTGGCGCCCGTGACCGAAGGTTTAAGATCATTGATTTAAAACTACTTGTCCCGCACCGCTGTGGGTTTGAATCCCCGACAGGGACTTTGAATTCTTTCATGTGAGGGAGCTATCCAGCTAGCTTACGAGACGCGGGTGGTTCTACTCAGATGCCCATTCGTACCTGAAGTAATGCAAGGAAGGGCGCCCGAGGTCTTCCTCCACCGGTAAAGCTTGAAAGTCGCTAATGACCTACATTGTGCCGGTGCGGTTTAACACTCAATTCCTAAAAAAAAACCTTATAAAGTTTTACAACATTCGCCTTCAGCACTGTGTAATTGTGTCTTTTAATGTTGCATATAAACTTTTAAATTAGGCGTTCATAAATACAAATAATTGGGGCTAATTGGTCAGTAAAATTAAAGATGCACAGATTCGTCCTTGAACTCTAAAATATTCTTAATTGTTTTCTTCGAGCTTCTTGCACCGTACCTGTTGAGCCCATCAACTATTTAACCTCTACTTGTTCTTTATTTACTAAAATCTTAACTTTTTTTTGTCTGTGACTTCAGGTAAATTCCAGAGGCGGAAGAGGAATTGGTCCAAAAGAATCTGAACGCCAGTCACGCGAGTGGACGGAGGAACAGTTGAAAGCCGGTCAAAATGTGATTGGATTACAAATGGGAAGCAACAAGGGGGCGTCTCAAGCTGGACAAAGTTTCGGAAAAGCAAGACATATTGTTGATTAGAATAATAAAATCTGGACGGTTTATTTTATAAATATCTCACGCATCATAATGGCATAATAACATAATAACAAAGTTTGATTGTTAAGCTTTTAATTCATAAAGTGAAAGTGTTTTAATGCCTCGTAAATAAATTGTGTTCGACTTAGTCGAACACAATTTATTTACGAGGCATCCACTTTCTATTGTGCACTGATAGAAAAGAGTACATATGTACAGTTCTCATTTATGACAAACTCTTTTGTCCATTGTCATGGTAGTTCTTTTCCCCATTTTATTTCATATATCAATTTAAGTTATTTTTATACGCAATTTTATTTGAAACACTCCATACTATCGGGTTGATTATAATAAAACAATTATTAATGACAAGTTTTTAATTTATAGTACCCTTTCGGGCAAAATTTTCGGGTAATTTGACCTAGTTTTCGGAGAAATTGGCCATTTTCAACTACAGCTTAAGATTAGTTCTAGCCAATTTTGAAATAAAACAGTGGACAAAAAAGAAAGTTTAACACCCCTGACAAGTTTTAAAAGCATCTATTTTCATGAATTTAATACTTTTAGAACCTTGCAGGTTTTTTCAAAATGCCCTACGAAAGATGCAAAATTTGGCGATTTAGCTCAATTTCACGCATATATTCTGGAGAAAATAAATACTGTCAGAATATTCAAATACATGCACCGAAATAATTGTTCTATGCTGAAGATTTATACCAATTTTCACAGCGCTTTGTTTGTAAATAAAGTTACAGGCAAGTTTTAAAAAACATGTGTAAACCGTGGTAAAATTACGCCCGTGTGATTATTACGCGACACCGGTATGACTAAATAACGCAACAGAGATTTTTTGGCGCAAATGGCACAAACTTTACTCAAGATTTTCCTCAAATATTGTAGTTGGAGGCATGCAGCTTTATATACTGTTTATTCCAATCGAATGTTATAAACATTTTTTAGACTTAAAATTGTTTGATTAACAAACTTTATGCCCGTTTTGGAAAATGTATAGGGAATGTTTCAAACCATTAACCGAAAATGTGCTTATTGAATTTTATTACAAACTTTTATTTTGATACTACTTTTAATATATATACATGTGTATATCATTTATTTTAAATTTAGTTTGATGACATAACATAAATTGTTCCCTTTTAGAAAAAGTACCCCTAATGCGCCGAGAAAAAAAGTCCATTTCTCCGGCATATAATCATTCAAAACATTTAAAAAATGAAGTGTAAAACAAACTTTCATTATGATACTATATTCAATATATATAATAAATTCTATTTTGTTAAATAATTGTAATTTATAACCATTCATTGTGTCGTTTATGCAAAAATATCCCCAAATATTTTCGAATTAAACAAATCTTCTACAGCAGCAAAAAGACCTCTCGCATGCTTCTTTTTAAAGAAGCAAACTTGTACTATATGTGTTATTATTTTGCCACTGTCAGATTACAGTTTTACAATAACATTGATTTAAGGTCTCATACCCTGAGTGTCTTTTCTTGTGACTGTTATAAATGCTACCGTTGTAGGTAGAAATGTATTTGCTTAAATGACGGAAAATGCTCTGAAACTTGCTAACATTCTGACTGAAAATCAAGCTCATTCTTTTAACTATTATTTTTATTCGTATTATACCTTTATCCACAATTGAGGCTTTAAACTATCATTTGTAAAATTCTGATGACAGAAACAATGTAAATGTGAAAAAATGCATCGAAAAGGTTTTTATTGACACGCAGTTACAGGACAAAACAAGATTCGGTACAACACTGTTTAGTTCATAGACATAGTTATATTTTCAGATTGTGTGAAATAGCATTGAATTGATGAACGCCGTGTGATTTGGAATCAAGTTTATTGTGTTGTAACTGCGGTGCACATATCGCATTGATAACTTTTCCATCTTGAGAAAATATGTCAAATGAAAGTTTAAAGGCATATGATACAGTTACATAACCATTAAGGCAAATTGAAAACTGTGTAATAGAATTTGTTTAAACTTTGAATGAGCTTAAATCAAAAGCAGTTGTGTACATATGGCTATACTGTTAGCAAGACTGCACCTTTTACTGCTGGAACCGAAATAATCTAGCCAAAGTTGAAAATAGAGATTCATGTATTCCAGGCTACACATCCTTGCAGACTGAACCAGCTCTGAACTTATAGCCGACTAACTTTAGAAATTTCAGTCTTGATATGCTCAAAATTGATAAATGAATTTTACAAAAACAGCAGGTAAAATAAGACTTGCAAGTTTGTATAGTATTACCAGTGTCAGAATTGTCGGCTGCTCAAGTTTTATCTATTTTTTTCTAGCAGCCCATCACATCACCTTTTTATTAACGAGTGGAATAAGTCGAATATAGAAATTAAATGCGTACTTTGACAAAAAATGCCCCCCCCCCAGGTTAATCGTTAATATTTCAAATATAAGTCCAATATTTAATGCATATAAAACGTTTTTGACACGTTCATGTTAAATTTGCAAAATTGGAATAATTCTGCCATATACATAGAATGAGAAGTAGAAAAATCTTAAAACTAAAAATTTGCCAAGAAATTAAATATGATATTTCCAAAATATAATAGCCGACTTAAAAGGACGCAACCTGGTACCCCGCTTGGTTTGCATTAATATTGTTTTATACAAGTTTCTATTGACAATATTTGATACCCTCACATTAACTAATAGTTAAATCTAAATATATGTGTACGTATCAGTGCAAGTTCCGCTGTATATGCAATATTCCGTGATCGATGCCAGTTTTTAAATCATGGGAGGTAACTCTGCATCAAAGGACATATTCAGTAATATCAGTTGCACCCCTTTATATCATCACCAAATTTGATGTTTCGGTATATGCAGAGAAAGTTAACAACACGATTAAAGAAATGACTCAACAAAATAATGTTGAAAAAAGAGACCAACGTTATCACTTTCAAGAACAGAAAACTCAAGTTCAAGCATAATCATACTATTTTTTTATTTCAGATTATTTTTTTTATCATTTCATTTTCAGTCATTTTGCAGAGTTTAAAGTTATGACATTAAGATAAATTTTGTTTTTCTAGAATGAGTAAACAGCCTGCATATTTATCAAAAAGAGGCATAACTCGAAGAAAGTAACATTTCGCACCAACCACTAAAGATTAACATCTGTCGCATAGAATTTCAGCAAATTTTGCACTATGGTAGGAAGTAAGTTTTACCTAACTAATACAAAATAACATTACAATGAGGTGGTACTTGGCATAGTTTTGAGTTACCTACCTTGAAAACGACTTCAAAGAGCTTCAGGGGCAGATAACTCTAAAAGTAGAATGTTGAGCACCAAGCGTTTTTTCATAAATGTTTTTCAAACATGACAAGTTGAGTCATTGTAATATAAGGAAATTAAATGCTAAAATACATTAACAAAACAACAACAACAGAAAACAACAACAAGAAAAACAACAACAAAACAAAACAAAAACAAACAAACACGCAAACAAAAACAAAGAAACAAAAACCAAGAACACAAGAATTTCGATGCCGACAGTATAGGGTGCTAATGTCATCAACTGACTTGAACTAAATAGAATGTAAAATCTTCTTGTGAATTAAGGTATTCCAAAGTTAAGAATTTAATTGTTCCAGAAAATATTTTAATGGAATAGGTAGTTAATGAAAGGAGAGCAATCATGAGATTAACTTGTTGAAATGCTCCTTTTGCAAGGGCGACACATGACACTTACCGGATTTCCGGACTTCTCAAAATGGTTAAATCGGATCATCTCGGCTGTTATTACTAATTCTTATCGAAAGGGCCGAGAAGATGAGATTGGAATAGTCAAAATATATTGACGTGCCAAAGCTTGATTCTGAGATATTTTCGTTCTGGGGCAGAATCTCGCTTTAACGTCAAAACCAAAAGGAGACCTTTCTGTGGTGAAACGTGGATTTCGATGTTAATACAATTTTAAGGAATCAACAGCACAAAAAGTGCTAGACTGTCAACTTAGAAGAAAGTAAACCACGTTAGTTTCATTTCACCGTCTCGTTTGTGTACCAACGCCGCCATATTGTGATGTTGCTACAGTAATGTAACATGTACGCTAAAAATCGATATTGTTCGGTACCGTGCGTGAATGTTGTCATTTTTTTTGCGTGGCACAAAAATATGAAAAACTGTTAAACAGTGCTTATTATTCTTTAATGTTGTTATTATTAATTATATTTTTTTGCTACATTAAAATAAATCGCCAGGAAATAATCTTTAACTATTTTTTCTAATTGATTGAAGTCTTGAATGATGCGGGGAAACTTTTAATTTAGACCTCTTTTTTATAAACATGTTTATTAAAGGATAAACAAATACTGTATTTCATTAAAATTTATATTGTCACCACTCTAGTATTATCTATGTTAGAATAATTATGTTAGTTACAACTTGCTGCGTATTAAAAACAGCAACTCCTTGCCTAGGAAAGTTTTGTTTTCCAAACGTGCATTACGCTATGAAAGATTTTTTGAATTCAAATGGTAAATTCTTGCGTTAATTTTTCATTCCTCAACAGTTTTCAGAAAAGTAAAACTCGTTACTCCGAGCGCCCATTTTTCGTTTGTCTGCGTGTACATGTACCATTTATCCGTGTAATAAAAGACTATAATCAAAGCATGCCGTAATGGCCTGGATATTTGGGTGTTGTTTAAGCGATGTTCCAGAAAAGTTTTTGTTCCGGTATAGAAAATATATTCAACCATGTACATGTATTTATTTTTGAAACGTTACGTGTTATCTATTCCACAACGCCGACACCGGTACGCTTCGGAAATGTTGTCACTGCGCAGTTCTGTTTCTTCCTTACTTAAATTCTTTGTGTCAACTTAAAATTTATAAGATTAAGTTTAAAATAAATTTGAATTATAGATAAGTATTTAAATTGGAGCCGTGATTCATATCCGGAATCAGTTAAACAATTTTCCATGCTGACATGGTCCAAATTGTAAAGAAAAGTTATTTTTAGATTGTAATTACATGTATTTATTTTTCAATTTATAATTATAAATATACTTGATGAT